AATTTAAAAGCCAGCCATCAACACACCCCAATCAATATCTAAAAACTTTATAACTTTATAAACTTTATTGTCATTGTATGTGTATACACAGTACACACATACAACGAAATTTATGTGATACCCAAAGACCAGGTCCCACACACATAATCCCCAAACACACTCCCACACACCACAATTCCCCATCCCTAAAACCGCCCAAACATCCACCCAGCAGACCAAGTAATACTGTCCAACAGTTCACTGATTGTGGCCCTTTAGTTCATTATTAAGTGCAATTATAGCTCAGGGATAAAAACTATTCAGAAAACGTGTGGTCCGAGTTTTAAATGTTCTATATCTTCTGCCAGAAGACAACAGTCCAAAAAGATTGTAAGCAGGATGGGAAGAGTCTCTGAGGATGTTATGCAACTTCCTCAAATAGTGAGATTCGAAGATGTTGTCCAGGGCTGGTAGCTGAAGTCCGATAATATTCTGGGCAGTTTTAATAATTCTCTGTAGAGCTTTTTTGTCCGCCACAGAGCTGCTCCCATACCATGCAAGAATGCTGTATGTCAGGACAGTCTCAATGGTGCTGTGATAGTAGGACAGAAGTAGATGCTGAGATAGGTTTATCTTCCTGAGCATTCTCAGGAAGTACAGCCTCTTCTGTGCCTTCTTCACGAGCATGTTAACATTCATAGTCCATGAGAGGTCCTCCAAGATATAAGTGCCCAGAAATTTAAAACTATCCACCCTCTCCACCTCCTCACCATTTATGTACAATGGTAGATGTACATCTCTCTTCCTCCTGAAGTCAATTATAAGTTCTTTAGTTTTTGTGGTGTTAAGTGTGAGATTATTTTCATTACACCACAATGTCAGCCCTTGTACCTCCTTCCTGTAAGCAGTCTCATTGTTCTTATTAATGAGCCCCACCACTGTTGTATCATCTGCAAATTTAATAATTGTGTTGGTATTATACAGTGGGGTGCAGTCATGCATATAGAAGGAATAAAGGAAAGGGCTTAGTACACAACCCTGGGGGGCTTCTGTGCTTAATATCAGAGTAGAGGAATGGTGAGAGCCCATCCTTACTGACTGTGGCCTACCTGTCAGAAAGTCTCTTATCCACAAGCAAATCCTCTGATTTATACCCAAATTGGACATTTTAAAAAACAACCTGTTGGGTAAAATGGTGTTAAAGGCAGAGCTATAATCCACAAATAACAGCCTTGCATATGTCCCCTGTTGTTCCAAATGATTCAATACAGTATGGACAACAAGAGACATAGCATCATCAGTTGATCTATTATCCCTATATGCAAATTGGTATGGGTCCAAAGTAGATGGAAGACTAGCCTTAATATAGTTCAACACCAGCCTCTCAAAACATTTCATGACAATAGATGTTAAAGCTACTGGTCTGTAATCATTAAGAGATACCACTACTGTCTGCTTAGGAATTGGCACTATAATAGATGTCTTCAGGCAGGTAGGGATAGAGCACTGCGTCAGAGATAGATTGAAAATATCCGTGAACACTTCAGCTAGCTCTGCAGTGCAGTCCCTGACAACTCGTCCCAGAATTCCATCTGGCCCAGCTGCCTTCCGGATATTATTAACATTCTGGAAAGTGCGTCTCACATCAGAGATCTGCAGTAGAAGTGGTTGTCTATCGATGCTAGATGTTAATGATTCACCATCAGTGGTAAATGCTGGAATGATGGTCGTTCCTGTGTCCACCCCAAAACGGCTGAAGAATTGATTTAACTGCTCAGCCAAAGAGTCACTACTCCCAGGCAAACTGTTTTTATTGCTTTGTCCTGTGATTTGTCGCAGACCTTGCCATACACGATCAGAGTCTGAGTTCTCAAAAAGATGTTCAATCCTCCATCTGTATGTAGGTTCAGCGTCCTTGATACTCCTTTTCAATTTAGCTGTTGCCTCGCTATACTGTAGCGCATCACCAGAATGAAAAGCAGCATTTCTTGCTCTTAATAAAAGACACACTTTTCTATTTATCCAGGGCTTGTTGTTAGAAAACACCCGTACTTGTCTGGTGGTAGTGACAACATCAATGCAGCTTTTAATGTAAAACAGTACTGTTGAAGTATAAGTGTCAATATTGTTCTCCTCAAACAGTGCCCAATCAGTACTCCCAAAACAATCTTTAAGTTGCTCCGATGCACCCACTGGCCACACTTGTATTTCTCTAGTTGATGGTCTAAAAAGCTACTTACTACAGGCTACTTACTATTTTAAATATCACACAAAACAGCACACACTCTCTAGAAAGAGGTTCCCTGAAGATGGGCTCCAGCATGAGTTCAAAAACTTGGAAGAAAAAACCTCTGGTCCTGGTGACTCAGATTGGATCCTGCAACATTATTCTGCGACATGTATATTCACCTTCATTTGTGAAATTACTCTTTGAAAAAGTAGAAATTCCTACAGGAGGTAAGTATCCATTCTTCATTCTTGGAATAAAAATCAAGCTCTTCCAGATGACCATCCCATATATTACAAATTTCCAAACATATTGTTGTTGTTAATTGCGAAGTCGTTTCCGACCCATCGCGACCCCATGGACAACGTTCCTCCAGGTCTTCCTGTCCTGTACCATCTTCTGGAGTCCATTTAAGTTCACACCTACTGCTTCAGTGACTCCATCCAGCCATCTCATTCTCTGTCGTCCCTTTCTTCTATTGCCCTCAATCTTTCCCAGCATTAGGCCCTTCTCCAGTGAGTCTTTCCTTCTCATTAGGTGGCCAAATGAGTTTCAAGCCAAACATATACTGCTAGTTAATTATTGAATTATGTAAAAAAGCCAATTATATAAATAGGTTGGGGTGTACATGAAATTAAGAAAATGTTTTGCTTTGAACTCTGTAACAAATCAATGCATTCTGAAAGAGTAGGCACATTCCTTTTGGGTTAGTCCAGGGGTGTCAAACTCGATTTCATTCAGGGCAGCATCAGCATTGCGGTTGCCCTCGGGAGGGCGGGTGGATGTGGCCAGGGTGGGTGTGGCCTACTGGGTGGTGTGGATGGAGTGGGTGTGGCCTACTGGTGGGCATGCCAGCTCTACATCGTTTGATTCAAGGGTATCTGTGGGGGCCTGGGCAAGAGTGGGACAGATCTGAGGGTCTCTGGCAGAAGGGGGTGGGACCGGGGCAAGTGTCAAGGCATGGTCCACTGGAGGAGCCTCACTGCCTGTTGAAACCCCTCCACCGGAGCCCATCAAGCCGGATATGTGAAGTAGGCGAGGGCCATTTGCTGGCCACTTCCAGGCGGTGGTGCATTTCTTCATTCCTCACAAAGGGTGACACTTCCCCAGCATGCACCCAGGGGGTGGGGCAGACGCAGCAGGGGCTGGTTCCTCGCTGTTTCCAGATGGCCTTGTGGAGCTAAGACTGAATGCGTTTCAGCATAGATGGCCACCCAAAAATTGTACATTGGCTCCCGGCCAACCTGGGCCAGAGCCAAGGCAGTGGGGGCCGTTCCCTCACTGTTTCCAGGATGGCTTCGCAGGCCATATGAAACCATGTCGCGGGCTGCATCTGGCCCCCGGGCCTTGTGTTTGACATGTCTGGGTTAGTCACTGCAGGACAAACCAAATCTCAGAACATTTTGGTCTTTCCAGTTTTGGAATCCAGATATGTAAGTATGGCAAAGCTGATGCATGCTACCCCTTCTCTTTCTCCTGCAGCTCCCAGCATGACTTGTCCTACTGTTTCACCTACCCATTCCCTATTTTATCAGTGATTTCCTTTCCCTCCTTCCCCTCAGCTGCCACACTTGATATCCCCACTTGATATATCCTACAGGCTCACCTATTCTCAGACTTCCCACTGTCTCTGTTTGTTTGTTTGTTCGTTTATACTAAGCAAGTGAATTTATATACATTACATAAAATAATTATATTTAAATTTATAAAACAAATCTGAATGACTAAACTAGTCTCTACATCCATTAATATTCAACTTGGCGAGTCTCAAATTTTCAAAATTTGTGTGCATTTTTTAAAATCAAAGAGCAGCACTGCATAAGGTAAAAAGCATAAAAAATAAAAACAATGGATTATTGCAATCCAATTCACATATTGCTATTTTATTTTGTTTTATTGTTTTCAGCTTGTTTTACTAATACCAATGCAAAAAGTGAGTGAAGTATATACAAATATGTTGCTGAAAATAAATATCCATTTTATTCCTACCCCCCTCAAAATTAAAAATATGCTTGTATACTAAAACAAGTTTCTACGTTATACAAGAGGCAAGTATAGGAGCAAAAAATCACTAATATCCAGCAGCCGTGTAAAGAGATCCCAGTTAGTTAGCATCATGAAAAGCAACAGATGGCACACTTATATGCATTCCACATTTTCATCCTCAAAGCACATAGACCCATATACCACCTGGCAAGATGAATAAGGAATTAGAGAATGTTAAGGAGGAAAGGCCTACCAATAATGATTAGTCACAATGCCTAAATGGAACCTGAGGAGCAGTATGTCACTGAATACTGGTTGCTGAGACAGGACTGTGAATTTTCCAGGCACATTTGGCTGGTCACGGGCGGGAAATGGGAAACTGGGTTATACAAACCTGTATTATGATTCAATTGGGCTTTTTACAATGCAGAACTTCCAAATGCAGATAATCTATTTGATGTGATAATGGGGGAGAAGGGGATAGCAAGTGCAGGACTGGGATTTATCTTCCTGGAAGGATCAAAAGGGCCTAATTAAAGTTCCATAATGCAACTTTGCTTATTTTAATCTAATAAAATTATTCTCTATCAAATTCTAATAATAGAAAACCTGCAGCCTGTAGTTGTATTTTTTTATGGAATTTATAGAAAAAGATACAGCTGACTGTGAAGTGTAAGGGCATGAACATGAGGTTCAAGGTAATTAAGAAGCAGCCCAACAGCATTAAGGCAGTAAAGTCATCCCATCTGCCAAATTCTACATTTAGCTGGAACTATGCCTTTTGCTTGCTTCTGCTTTAGTTACCCACCTGATCCTTAGAGACTTGTTTTGATGGAGCATTTATGCCAAGCTTTTCCAGAGGATAGACAATCTGTCGTCTTGGTCGCACGGGAACCATGTAATGTAGGGCAGATGTCAGGGAATGGGCACAGGGATTCTGGAACTGAAGGACAACAAGCTATATTTTAGCACACAGAATGTCAGAAGAGTGCATCACAGATGTCTCTGCTTTGTGAATATAATAATCCTTTATCCCTTTGATTAAAACCCAAATTAGTACCTCCCCCTCCCTCAAAAATAAAATAAACACTCACATAGTAGAGGAATCGGTTGTAGTTAATTCCCTATCCTAATGAAGATAATTATGAGAGTAATTATATTACTATCTCTCTGGGAATGACAGATAAACAAGTGGTTTGGTTTATGGGATTTTGCAGCACAAGAAGCTTCCCCCAGAGGAATATTTTTCTTTACAGCAATCACAAGTCTTCTTCACCCAACCTTATTAAGCGATGATACATGCATACTCTTAACCTTTGCTTATTTTACAAAACAGATAAATGATGCTTTCATTAAAATGATAAATGACAAATGCAAATGAAATAGCATAAACACCAAGAAATATTCTTATGCTTACATAAATACAAAATAGGACATTGAATTGTAATGAATCCAATTACAGACTGTATACCATAGGAAAGCTATAATAATTAAAACAGCAATAATGTAAATAAAACATCTAGAGTATTTCCAAAATCTTTCTGTGCATTCACTAAAGCTTTTTTTTTTTGTTTTAACTTTTCAATCTGCTCCTAAGGATTAGGGAATCACACCTTTAGAATTTAAAGCAACGCAGAATTGACATTTCATCTCAAGGTGAAGAAATATAAGCAATCTGTCTGCCCGATCCAGGCAGGATATAATATTCATTATGTTAGCTGTTTCTTTGCCACTCATCTTGCAGTGAATGACTCTGGACATTTATTATAATTGGCATTTATTATACAGTAGCAGCTTTGAATACTTATTTTATAGCAAATTTCCTGCAGTTTTTCCTGCAGTTTTTATTTTATCATAATTGATTAAAAGTCATTATTCTTTTATCCATTTCACGAATATAGCTCGTACTAGAAATGCATATATTATATTTTTGTACATTGACCCAACAAAGTGAAGACACAATTAAAAAATAAAATTAATTTTTTAAAAACTTGCAGTTTACCTTGCCTTCTTCAGGCTGGGGATAAATAGGATAATAGAGGCAAGATTTGTAGGCTAACCGAAGTATCTCCTTCATAAAATGTTTGGCATAATGATGAAAAATTGGATTGATAGAAAAATGGTAAAGGTGGCCATGTTCTTCCTGCTGGTAATGACTGAAATAGATAAAATCTTCAATGTTGTAATGTGAGCGAATGTATTCGATATCCTGGAAAACAATTCAGGAAGTAGTTAAGGAGGAATTCTGAATCTCTGCATCAATACATCCTTCTGCCTGCATAAAAAGATAGGCCACTATTAAGAAAAACATTCATTTGGAAATTCTTTCTTTTCTTTTCTCCTCAGATTTCTCCTTGCAGTAAGAGGGAAACTAGGATCCAGACTATGTGAATTTAACTTAAACAAATATATATTCTTCTGCAGCATTATCTGCAGGTTGTATATATGTGTGTATAAAAACAGGAAGCAGGTGGATGTAAATATGATGAGGTTGCATGGATTTTTAAAAGGAATGGGATTTTCCAATCAATAATAATAATTACAAATATGAATACATACCATTTCATTTCTAATAACAGATATTCCAACAATTTGATTCAAAACCTCTGCTACAAATGCCTGAACTGGTGTCCCATCCTGAAAAAAACAATCAAGTTGGTACCAATTTTTTTCGTCTACTAATTCAGAAAATATTGACTGGCTGATTGGATTTCTATCCAGCTTTTCTTTCAAGAGCCCAAGGTAGCATACACAAACACACACACCCTTTCTGTTTTCCCTATCCAATGAAGTGAGGTGTTTCAGGTAATGAGAATTGCTTTAGCCTTTAAGATTTACTGCACATCTCAATCTTCAGACTTCTTGTCTACTGGAGTGTTTCTACCTGATGGTAAGTCTTGTACTAATGGCAATGCAAGTTAGAGATTGTGCTGATGTACTTATACACTACCCACAAGAGAATCAATACTGAAAAATTTCAGTCTAATTCAATGAAGAATTTAATATGCCTGCTTGGGCAGTTTAGTAGGGTCCATGCCAATTACAGAGTTCTTCCAGTATATCATTGCCTAAACTGTCTAAACAAGACAGAAGGATGATAATCTGAAAATGGAAATGTATTATCTATTCTGTTATCATGTTCAGATTACTATCTGCTAAGGTGAGGTTTAGTGTTATATAAAATGGTTAACTAATTAAAATGATCCATCCCTATGTAGGCTAATACAGTGGTGGCAAACCTATGGCACGCGTGCCAGAGGTGGCACTCAGAGCCCTCTCTGTGGGCACGCGTGCCGTCGCCCCAACCCCACCTCCCCCATGGCCTCCTCCTCACCAGCAGCCCCCCCCCCAGAGGAGAGTCACCTCTGGGAATGGGCCCCATAGAGCAGTGCAGCCAAGGACATGGTAGCTGGGCAGCAGGGACAAGACTCCACCCTCCCACCCTGTCACACGCATGATCCTGTGGGGCACAGGCAGAGGGCATGGTGGCCAGGGTGCTTCAGGGCTGCCTGGGCGATCAGTGGCAGGCCATGGAGGCAGTGGGTGGCCCTTTGGGCAGGTAGGGCAGGGGTGAGGCAGGGCAGGGAGGGTGGAGGTTGGAGCAGGGGCAGATCGGGCATGGCAGGGGGCAAAGCGGGGGTGGGGCAGGGGTGGGGCGGGACAGTTTTTGAGCACTCAATCTCTAAAAGGTTTGCCATCTCTGGGCTAATATATGATTTCCAGAAAATTCCAATAGATTTTTCAATTGATATAGCTGATGCTTTTACTGAAGTGCTAAACACCCTGTAGAACATGGAGCTGACATGACTATACTCGTGCTCTCTCTTGCATATTAAATTCTTTCAAATAGTCTAGACCATGATAACAAGTAGAACACAGTGAACAAAAACTCATGCTGTTTCAACTAAATATAATTTAGAGCTGTGGATGACAAAGACTTTTTTTTACTGTCACCTTTTATCTTTACAATGTCCTCTAACAGGAGCTGCTACATTCTGACCCTTAATAACAATTGATAATATGCACTACAGTTTGCTGTGATTTATCTGCAAGACCCTCTGAAAGTAAAGACATTTGCATTCATTGTGATTTGCATTCCTGGGTTAATATAGAAATTTCTAGAGCATCATCATCTTTATCTGTATTGGATAAGTTCCAATAGTTGAGTTTTGAAGCTATGGACAGGATGCTTGAACAAGTTTGACTAGAAATTCAGATGCTCACTTCTTGTGCAGTTTGACTTGTTAGATTTAGTAAGGACAAAGTTGTCAATTGGGCTCAACAGACCATTATTTCTTCCTTCAGAGAAACTGTTACCAGACTCTGAAAAAGAAAGAAAGCAACCCAAAATCTAATCTTCTAAGTTATGACACAGAGCTCTTTGAGTTCAATTTTAATACCCAGACTATTTAGTACCTGTAGTGGAAGAACAACTAAAACTTTCGCCTGGTTAACATCAATATGAGGATGACACCCAGCTTTATTAGTATTTTTTATTGAATACTGCTTGGAACTGATTGTATAATGACTAATAATTAACCTCATTCAGACAAGATAAAAACATTGTTCATTTGTAATCCATGTGCCCATATGAATGTGTTCAGTTTGTTTTGGAGAGGGTTGCATTATTCTGGAAGATCAGAGTATGCAGTCTTGTGGATGCTTTTGGAACTACTATTATAACTGGACACAGGTAGCCTTGTTGCTCAGAAAGACTTTAATTTGTTTAGATTGATATACTAGCTGCAATTTTTTCCGAGGTAGGACACACTGGCATCCACTATGAATATTCTGATAAGCTACAGCATAAACTAGTATGATATATTGTAGGAGCAGCTATTTTTGAAGGTGATTCAGTAGTTTCAGTTAGTAACTTGCATCTCTAGTTTTGACTATCTGTGCCTGGGTAATATAATTATACCATGCCAGTAATCCATCAGCAACATGCTAATTGCCAATCTATTTCCAGGCCCAATTCAAGGTTTTAGTACTGGTCTTTAAAGCCCTGAGAAGCCTGACTGCAGACAATCTAAAGAAAATTTTCCCCATTATATGTCTGCTTGGGCCCCTCAATCAACTTTAGAGGCGAAATGAAATGAAGTAGGTGACTGCAAGTAAGAGGGCTCGCTGAAGAATGGGATACTGCTTGTGGAATTTTCTCTCCAGAAAGGCAGATCTCCAAGTACATTAATGTATTTTTAGTGCAGCCATTGACATTCTTGTTCTCCAAGGCATCTTACTATTTTCTATTCAATCTGATTTATTAATTTCATATCATGTTTCTTTTTTAAAGAAAGAGTTAATTACTTTATAATCTCTATAATCTCTATTTCTATTATTAAGTGAATTACAAATAAATACAATAAAATCCATTCACTATTACCTCCCTCCCCCCAGTATTATTATAGCACTTACTGGATCTCTTCGTGCTGATAAGTAGTTATTTAGGTCATCCAATATGGCTACGTTCAATTCCAGGGTTTGGATTAGTCTTTTAATGGCAAAGACATCAGTAGATTTTGCTGCTCTTACACGAAAAGACCTGTTAAAAAACAAAACTAATTCCAACAATGATATCTACTAATGTTTAATGTTTCAGATCCCAGACTTGAATAGGCAATCATGATAAATAATGAACTTATGGTAATGATTTCTATAAAGAAAAAAGGAAAAATGGTTTATTTATTTATTTTGATTTATGTGCTCCCCATCTAATACAGAGGGAACTCTGGGCGTCTTACAAATATTAAAATTGCCAGACATTAAAATGATAGAACAATAAATGACAACAATTAAATAACTACAGTTAAAAGATGGGAAGGAGGGGAACACAAATTAGGATACAGGGTTTTCATATTAAAGTTGCTTTGAGAGCCCATTGCAATGCTTGTTCACAGGGAATTTAAACATATTACATCTCAGTGCACATCAACACTATAGATTTTCATCAGCCTACTATCTGTACCTTTTCTAATATTTCATTAAATTTCCATCTGAATCCTTGCCAGCAGAGATAGAAAACTCCTATTAGCTGACAATATAAATCTACTGATTTTACAAAACTATTCAATCTGTTTTCATCTTGCTGCTATTTTTCGGGACTATTTTCTTTTACTATTCACAAACAAGTTGCACAAAGAGCTGAAAAGAGAGTATGTTTGAAACATGGGTACTTTTCTAAAAGAAAATAAGCTTTTACTCTTAGAATAATACAAAATCCATTTTGTAGTGACTTTAGATTTTTCTCGTCCTATTTTTCTAGATGCCAAGCAGTGCAGTTTGCTTCTATCTCTTGCATATATGTATTAATAATATAAAAAAGCCTTTCCATATGTAATTAATTACAAGAAACAAAATGGGTTAAATAACCCCTAAAAAATAGGCCACTTTTTAAAACAAAAAAATAAAAAAACCAGACCTATTATGAAAATAACAAAGTGGGAGAAAACTATTTTAGTCTATACGTGCTCATTTTGCTCACAGGAAAGAATTAACTCATTTTAGAAGCCTTAATCACTTGACTGTCCAGATGTAAGGGCATCATTATTATTGTGCTTTGCATTCAAAATTGAAGAGAAGTATCCATTAAGCATTTCAGGCTACACCTTGTTGTATTATTATTTTCCAGCCCCCCTTCTTAAGTTGCAAACCTGGGATTGCATTTGCCATCTTCTGATTATTGTACAAAGCTTTTCCCTTTTTACAATCTTTGCCAATCAATGTTTCATTTGGAGCTTTTCCCTTTATCTTTGTTGAGTTTGTACTTCCAGTTCTTGTTCTCCCCCCATTCCCTCATGCTGTTTTGCTTTTATCCATTTTCAGTAACTCACTTTCTATTCACATGTCTTTTAAACCTTCACAGTGCAAACACATTGCATTGATATTTGCTTTTTATATATCTTTATCAGGAAGGAATTATTAGCACTAGCTTTTTATGCTCAGATTTTTCCACTACTGCTCAGTTTTCCATGCACATCCATGGAAATTTTCTTCAGAAATTATATTTTAGTTTGAAAGACTTCAAATGAAAAGTGGTAGTCCAGTTTTTTCTCATTCATACCAAATCACTTCAACAATGCTTTCATACTGTTAGTCTGCGTAAAATATACTGTATTTAAAGTATGCAATCTTTCTGTGAAGGGATAACTAGACTGAGCCTATGAAAACAATATTTAGCAACAGCTAAAATATTGTTTGTTTAATGTGGTTTAGCTGTTTTAAGGTTTTATGTTTTATGCTGATGTTTTAACATTTAGTTTAACATTATTTTTGTTTGCTATTTTGTGAGCCGTATTTGGAAAATGGCTCTTCTGTGACATTTAAATGGGTATTCAAACCTATGTATAGGATGGAACATAATATTGGAAGAATATCTGTTCAGATACACTCATATTCTAAAGTTATTCCCAGTCCAGATATGCTTCTACCCTGAGAATGCAAAACTGATGATTCAATACGCTCCATTCAATCCAACAATATGATGGTCCATTACAGTTTAACAAATCTACATGTTAGTCCTTATATAGCATGGGCCAATGCCTTGTAAGGCTTGACTAGGTGATAATTAGCACTTTGAATTGCATTCAGGAATGAATTGATAACTAGTGCAGTTCCTGAAGCAAGGATGACACTAGGATATAATGTGGCATGTCTACTGTCTGTGTGGCTGTACTTTGGACAAATGCCAACTTCCAAGTGTTCTTCAGAGGCAGCCTCAGATACATTGCATCATAGTAATCCATGGATGGGTGACAGGAGCATGAGTGACTGCCTAAAGGCTTCCCATTGTAGGGGATGGCACACCAGGTATACCAGGTGAATCTGCAGAAAGGCTCTCTTGGCCAAGGCTGCCACCTTAATTTCCAAACAAACATTTTATATGAAAATAGTTGTGAGAGCAAAATGTCTTACTAACTTGAGCAATCCAGAACGATGAAATACATATAGCTCCTGATCCAGTGTACAATCGCTAAAAGGAATAATCCTAACAAAACTCTGAATCAGGTGAAATTCAGGGACCATATGTGGCACCGTGATGATGCAGAAGTCTTTATCCTAAAAAGAAGTAATAAATTAAAAAAAAAGGAAATGCAAATGCAAAATATAGGGTAGGATTATAGAAAGCAAGTTAAGTCTTTTCCCACTTCTTTACTAAACATTCCTGTGTTTGGTGATTTCTCATCAGGGCCTCGGACAAATTGTAGGCAGGTGAAGCACATGCAGGGCAAGGAAGGAAACTAAGATTGCCATTCTCTTGCACAGTCAATCTCTGAATCCAAGCCATGAACTAATTAATTAAATAAAAGCCGCCCAGAGTCATCTCGAACTGCAAGCTGGGCAGCATATAAATTTAATACATAAATAAGCACCATGTAGCTATGCCTAGGAGAGTATGCATTTTCTGTTGTGCTAAGATGGCACTGTCAACTTTAAAAATGAATGTGACTATAGCCATTTCCCTATTCATTTTCGGTTGACATATAGAAAGATGGGGGGATTGTCAGGTGCTTGGCTAGTCAAAATATTCTTTTGTCCCGTGGGAACCAAGGTCATCGGCTGCTCCCAAGCCTGCAGGCTGGGCATTTCTGGAAAAGCCCGCCAAGAAGATGTATTGGGGAACGTAGTTGCTTGCATAGATTTAAAGGTGAGATTTTTTAATTTTGTATTGGGGAATTGTTATGTGTGTCTTCAGACTTGGTTTCATTTTTGACATGCTGATACTTTGTAACTAATAAACATGTTCTTTGAGGAATTTCCAAGCCTTGGAGTTCTGCTTTATTTGTCTCTGTCTATTGGAATCTTGGCAGGCACTCTGCTACCTCATGCTGGTTTATCAGATGGCATTGAAGGCCGATGGATAGATACCAAATTTACAGCAAGAAATCAATATTATTATTATTGCTATGATTTTCTGTCATGAAAGGTCACTGGGGATGGTTTGGTAATGTTAGTTCAACAGAAAGGAACAGGTGAGTTTTGGTAGTCATTTTTAACAAAACTAAATAAATAAAATTGTCTTGCTTATGACTTAGTATTGTGCCACCAAATTATAATGTGATAAAGAGTAGGAGCAATCAAGTCTGTGAAGATTCCATTGAAGACTTATACTAAAATTTATTACAATCTTTCCAAAGTATTTACTATAATTCAATAATTATTTGGTGATTTTTTTTCTTCAAAAGCAATGTTGCCCTGTGCAAACAAGCACGATGTTTAGCAAATAATTTTCTAGTAATTAAATTGCAACAAGGATTTTTTAAAAATTACTTTATACACATTTAATATGAAAAGTTTAAAACCAAATGTCTACTTACTGGGAAAAGTTCAAAAACAAAGTTTAAGAAATCCAGTGACCTGTAAATAAAGCCAAGTATATGATATTTGCAGCATGCAAATGAACTTTAACCACATCCCCCAACTAAGAACCATTTATAGGTTGAAGCACAAACCAAAAAATTTCATTAAAGTCAGTAATGGTAATCCTTTTGCCCCTCACATAAGAGTCTCTTAATTATCACCTTGTTTTCTCTGTCCTTTCATTCACTGGAAACAGATATTTTCCATCCACTTATTTGAGCTAAATTTTTCTTCATCATTCTTTTCTACAGGTCCTTACCATGTGTATTTAAGTAGAAAACACCTTTTATCTTATTGTTCTGTTATGACTGGTTTGAGGAAACTACTAGGACACAATGTTTCTTTGTGGAACTAGGCTTAGGATAACCAAATTCTATTGTTTACATGCTGTATTTCATTCCCCAATGGAGAGGTTTGACTTGAGCAAACTGTCAACATAAGCAAAACTTAAGCAAGAGTCAAAATTATTAAGGGAAATAAGGGAAAAGCCCGGAGAAGAGAGAGAAAATCAATTAAGAATGAAGTAGCTACTGTGGGAAAAATAAATGGAAAGCAAGGTTAAGAGGGAGAAAAAGAATGAGAAAGTAATAGGGATTAACTTTTTATTTTCTCCAACTTGAATAAAAATTGAATGTGTGTATTTCCATTGTAGTCTGTCAAATATCACAGACATCAGCGGAGGAATTTTTGGATAATTTGTCGTTGCTATTCTCTTATGAGAACAGTTGAAATGTAACGGCTTGTTTTGGTAAGATAAGTCCTGACATGTTATAGTATGTTTGTACAGCCTCTTCTGCAAGATCACCTTATGGGTTTATCTTTCTAGGACTTCTGTTGGTTTGCCTTTGAAAGGACATTGTAGAGAAAAAGGTACTCTTAGGAAGAAATCTGAATATTTCAAAAGGAAAAATGCCACGCTTGCATTTTGAGTGGTAGTTTAATGCAGGGGTATTCAAACTCGGCCCCTTTATGACTCATGGACTTCAACTCCCAGAATTCCTCAGCCAAGCACACAGGCTGAGGAATTCTGGGAGTTGAAGTCCATGAGTCATAAAAGGGCGGAGTTTGAAGACCCCTGGTTTAATGGATAAAGTTGCTTTTAAATTAAGAGTGAGCAAGGTTTTTCAAGCTAAGTATTATCTGACCTAATGAGATGGCAGACACTCTGGCCCCCTATCATGAATGGCTTTTTAGATGATAATTATCACTTTCAACTATATCCAGGAACAAATTTGGAACCAGTGCAGAGTGTGGAGCAGATGTGTAACAAAAAGCCTCCCATAATTGCCTAGACCAGTGGTGGCGAACCCATGGCACAGGTGCCAGAGGTGGCACACAGAGCCCTTTCTGTGGGCACGCGCGCTGTCGCCCCAGTCCTAGCCTTCAGCTGGGTTTTATAAAACCTTTTCGCTTTAGGTCTCCGCTGCCATGTGCAAAAAAAAAAAAAAGGTTCAATCAATCAGTCAATTTCAACTTCTCGCGCGGGAGGGAAGATCTTGCAAAGTTGGAATTGATTGATTGAACTTTTTAATCCTACCCAGTCTGCCATTACCACCGCAGCCATGCCCACCCAATAGGCCACACCCACCCAATTGGCCATGCCCAGCCAATGGGCCACACCCATTCGGCACCCAACAATGCATAAGTCGGTTTTGGGTTGCAGTTTGGGCACTCAGTCTCTAAAAGGTTTGCCATCACTGGCCCAGACTATTGCATTTTGGAAATAACTGAAGCTTCTGGATGTTCTTTAGGGATAGCTGTATGTAGAGTGCCTTGCATTAATTTACTCAGAAGGTGACCAAAGAATAAATTATTATATACTGTGCCACTTAATCCAGGAAGAAGCATAAGAGGTGCATAACATTTAGCTGTGCAAAGGTCCCCCCCAGGCCATGGCTGCTGTTCAAACAGGAACTGTGCATTGAGGAGGACACGAAAGTTGGATATTGGTTTTGTCTTGAGTAGTGCAGCCCCGTCCAGAACTATGGAGGGAAAATCAGCAGAACCAGGAGGCCCTGATACCCAAAGCCACAGTCTCTTGCTAGAGTTGATCTAAAGCAGTGGTTCTCAACCTGTGGGTCGGGACCCCATTTGGGGTCGAATGACCATTTCACAGGGGTCGCCAAACCACGCTGTCCGCCATTTTTTTCCCTTTTCCCTAGCTGTCCTACTCCCTCTTATTGGTGGCCACACCCACTTGGGGGTCACCACAACATGGGGAACTGTATTATGGGGTCACGGCATTAGAAAGGTTGAGAACCACTGATCTAAAGCCTTTTCATCCTATGCAGATGCTGTTCAGTCCCATTAGGACCCCTATGGCCTCTAGGCACTAAAACCCAATCTCTTCAATGTCATTTGGCTGTCTGGAAACAGAGAAATAAAACTGAATGTCATAGTACATTGATGATACCTCACCCCATGCCATTGAATGACCTCACCCAGAGTTTTCATGTAGATCAGGGGTGTCAAACTGCTGGCCTGTGGGCCAGATGCATCATAACAAAACTGCACCCACCCCATTGCCAGCAATGGCAAAAAAGTTGTGATACGTCGCGACACGTCATGTGACATTGCGAGTTTGACACCCCTGATGTAAATGGTAATGGAGAGTGAGTCAAGCCCTGAAGGACCCCATAGGAAAGGCCATAGGCAGACTTCTCCTGGCATCCATCAGCCTTTTGGGGTAGACCAAACTAGAAAGCCAAAGGTATAAATGCAGCTACTACTTTCACTATATGATTACAATACACAATCTTGCGTATATGAACATGCATCTCCTCTCACTCTTTATCTTTGTGAGAACGAGGTGGGTCAAGTCTAAAATACTTTCTCAAACTACATTTTTGCTTTGCATTCAAATTTATTTTATCTGATGTTATGTTGGTTGTGGTTCTTCCTATTCCTCAGGGTTATTCACATAGCCTCTTATATCACCATACTGACTGGAACTGACCCTAGAAATGGAAGGAAATACCAGCATAATACTATGCCCCAACTCTAGCCAGGGAATCAGATGGATATCATGGTCAATGGTATCAATGTCATCACATAAAAGCCACAAATTAAGTGAGTAGGCACAAATTCTGTACATCATAGTGACATTTGTTTGATGATGTCTCTGCCCATATATCATTATTTTGTTGACATCACAATTTGCTGCACACATTCCTGAACAGGGGACTAGGAGCTACAGACAAGTTATCCTGACTCTTTTTTTCCAGAATGAAAATGTCAGTTAATTGCTAGGATTATAGTAATAGTACCACAGGAAGCAAGATCAGCTCCCTTTCCTGCAATGTTCTATGGCTGCTATCTCAATTCAATGTTCCTATGTAAGTAAAGACTGGTACCACTTTTATCAGAAAAGTAATATTTATTTTCCTAGTTCCAACAATATACTTACATTTAAATTTCTCTGTACAGTGGACTGTCCATCTACTTTTTTTCTACCTACCTATACGATATAAATAGCTTGATCTTATAAAAGCTTGATAGGCAAGATATAACTATTTCAAGTAAATATTACTAAGATCAATAATATAAATTATGGATCATTGCTACCCTTAAATTGTTTTCATATCATGTATTTAAATATGTACTTGCCTTGTTTCATGCTGCTCATCAATACAAAAGAGCTGAATACAAAAGGCATTTACTTCTCCTTTATATAGAGGATGGAAAGGTTGTCTTTCAAAACTAGTAATAGATGGTTGTTCAGTTGCTTTCAGATCCTTACTTTCGGCATTTTCTAATGATAGTTCTAATGAAACCTGAGCAAGTATTTCCTCTTTCTGCAATAAGAAGCAATAAAAAAGAGAAGCTTGGTTTAATTTATAATAGAGTTCCACAATATTATTCAAAAAGGCTTTGAGACTTTGTCTTGAAAAGTAGAATATGGATATATAACTGCTAATATGCATCATCTTATATCTATATACTACTAGAACTATATAAACTAAAATGAAATAAAATACATATTAAAAGAGAGTGAGCTTGATGTAGTGGTTAAGGCAACAGGCTAGAAACCAAAAGACTGTGAGTTCTAGTCCCATCTTAGTCAACACAGAGCTGGGCTGCATTAACAGAGGGATAGAATCAAGTTCACGTGAAGTATTAATACCACTTTACAATGCTTTAGTAAGGCCACACTTGGAATACTGCATACAGTTTTGGTCACCACGATGTAAAAAAAGATGCTGAGACTCTAGAAAGAGTACAGAGAAAAGCAACAAAGATGGTTAGGGGACTGGAGGCTAAAACATATAAGGAAAGACTGCTGGAATTGGGTATGTCTAGTTTAACAAAGAGAAGGACGAGGGGGGACATGATAGCTGTGTTCCAATATCTCAGGGGCTGCCACAAGGAAGAGGGAGTCAAGCTATTCTCCAAGGCGCCTGAAGGCAGGACGAGAAGCAACGGATGGAAACTGATCAAGGAGAGAAGCTTAGAACTAAGGAGAAACTTCCTGGCAGTTAGAACAATTAACCAATGGAACAACCTGCCTCCAGAAGCAGTGAATGCTCCAACACTGGAAGTTTTTAAGAAGAGACTGGGCAGCCATTTGTCTGAAATGGTGTAGGGTTCCTGCCTAAGCAGGGGGTTGGACTCGATGACCTCCAAGGTCCCTTCCAACTTTATTATTATTATTATTATTATTATTATTATTATTATTATTATTATTATTATTATTATGAAAGGCAACTGGGAGACCTGGGCAAGTCACTCTCTCTCAGGCCAACTGTTGTGAGGAAGTAGGAGAAGAATGGAGCATTAGGTATACTAGCTACCTTGAGTTATTTATCAAAATAGTAATGGCAGGATATAAATTCCAAGATACCTCAAGGGCTAATTTACTGAATGCATCCAAAATCTGGGACCCATGTGAAATTGGAATTTGGCAAATTTTAGAAAACATTTTATTACATAAAAATTATTATAAAACAATTTTATCACGTAATACAAAATGTCATAAAACATGTCCTGTGCTGATGTTTGACTGTGATGTATAGTCCAACATGGGCTATTTTCAAGGCAGAGACATCTTTGAATGTATCCCAACTTTTTCAGGGGGGGCAGTTCTGTCATTGTTGAAGTCATTGAGGAATCTGGTAAGGAAATCTTTCTGAAAGGATGATGCAGTGGATCATCGGTTGTCTAGTATTTTTATATGAGGAAAGCCATCCCTGCTACATTTTATTAATTCTATTAGTTCAAATTTCAGTCAGCAAATAAGAAAAAAGTGAAGCTAGATACTTCTACAAAACCAATTCTGAATGAACCTTTTTGATAAATGTCTAGTTTCAAGCAATCCATGCAATGGAATACAGTATATACACAAGTCAATTCTAATGAAGAGAAAAATACAAGAAAAAGTGTTGAATTGTATATACTTGAAGACATGCAGCCTCAGAGACCTGTTTTTTTTTAGTGATGTGTAAAAGCAGGGACAAATATAATAGATAAATATGGGGCTGCCTTACAAATTTCTACAAGTGTAGAATTACTACAGAATGTTGTCAGTGTGGAGGCTACAACATCTAATTAAACTCAAATTTTTGGAAGTTTTTTTTTTTAGTTTTAAATTTCTTATATTGAAAATAATGCAAGAGACATGCTATTAACCTAAAGTTGATTCTTTGGAAAATGCTTCTGATACATATCCTTAGGATTGATAAAGAAATAGGTTGGGAGCTTTATAGAAAATAGAAGTTTACCACTCCAAAATGGATTCAGCAATCCAAAGTATGGGTCAAGTTCAGGACAGTGGAAGGTTCTAGGTTAGCTGTGTAGCAAGTTATGAAGTTGATCCTAACTGAAGTAAGCTTTACCCTAAATGTTGTACTAGCTATATTATTGATTCATTCATTCAGAGGAATGCTGTGGACATAATTTATTTGGACTTCAGTAAGGCATTTGATAAAGTAGATCACAACCTACTACTTGACAAGATAGAAAAATGTGGGGTAGACAGAACCACCACCAGATGGATCCGTAGCTGGCTGACCGGCCGTACTCAGCGAGTGGTCCTCAATGGAACTGCATCTATATGGAGGGAAGTGTGTAGTGGGGTGCCCCAGGGCTCTGTTCTGGGCCCAGTACTTTTCAACATCTTCATCAACGATTTGGATGAAGGGATAGATGGGGAACTCATCAAATTTGCAGATGACAACAAGCTGGCAGGAATAGCCAACACTCCAGAAGACAGGCTTCAGGTACAGAAGGATCTGGACAGACTTGAACACTGGGCACTAACTAACAAAATGAAATTCAATGGTGAAAAAAGCAAGGTTCTACATTTAGGCAGGAAAAACCAAATGCACAAGTACAGCATAGGTGGCACCATGCTCAATAGTAGTAACTGTGAGAGGGACCTCGGATTCCTAGTAGACAATCAGTTAAATATGAGCCAGCAGTGTGCGGCAGCTGCCAAAAAGGCCAACACAGTACTAGGCTGCATTAACAGAGGGATAGAATCAAGATCACGCGAAGTATGAATACCACTCTTCAATGCCTTGGTAAGGCCACACTTGGAATACTGCATCCAGTTTTGGTCACCACGATGTAAAAAAGATGTTGAGACTCTAGAAAGAGTACAGAGAAGAGCAAACAAAGATGATTAGGGGACTGGAGGCTAAAACATATAAGGAACGGTTGCTAGACTTGGTTATGTCTAGTTTAACGAAGAGAAGGACAAGGGGGGGGACATGATAGCAGTATTCCAATATCTCAGGGGCTGCCATAAAGAAGAGGGAATTAAGCTATTTTCCAAAGCACCTGAAGGCAGGACAAGAAGCAACGGGTGGAAAATAATCAAGGAGAGAAGCAACCTAGAACTAAGGAGAAACTTCCTGACAGTGAGAACAATTAATCAGTGGAACAGCCTGCCTCCAGAAGCAGTAAATACTCCAACACTGGAAGTTTTTAAGAAGAGACTGGACAGCCATTTGTCCGAAATGGTGTAGGGTTTCCTGCCCGAGCAGGGGGTTGGACTAGATGACCTCCAAGGTCCCTTCCAACTTTATTATTATTATTATTATTATTATTATTATTATTATTATTATTATTATTATTATTATTATTATGTGCTTGGCTGATACTGGTTTGATGCAGTCTGAGTTCCTTCAGTCAGACAGTGTCATCTGTCAAGACCCAGGAGATGTGCTTATTCTGTTGCAACACTCATCCTCTGGAATGTGGTTCCCCCTGAGATCCAGATGGTTTCTACCCTAAATGATGTTCCAGAGGACCTTAAAAATGAGACTGTTCTCACAGGCTTGGGCTAGGGTGGGTGGAATCTTTTACTGGCTATGTTTTCATATGTCTTGGGTTGTTAGCTGGATTTGCCATCTGTTCTTCATTTGTCTATTTTATAATCCACCTAGAGTCAGTATGGAGTCAGTCATTGCCAAAATCAAATATGTAAATAAAATAATCTTTGCTAACACATTTGAATACACATGGAGAGACCAGCCATCTTTTTTTACCTTCAATTACTAGGAAAGTTGATTGAATAAATGCATTATTTTTAGTTACAGGGAAACAATATTTTGGTAATGAAGGATGATTTTACCTGTGAACCTTCCAGCTGCATTTATCTGAAGCCTGTGCGAGTTTCCAATTGGAAATTCTGTAATATTCCAATTAACAGAATCCTTCTGTTTGGATTCAGATGTTTCAAAATGATCTCTTTGCATTGTGAAAGAAAAGCAAGAAAATGTGCACGACTTACTCCTTAAAAGTAAAAAAAAAAGCTGCACGTATTTTATACTTTTTTCTTAGTAGTTGGTAGATAAGATGACCCTCATATATTTTTAATGTAAAAGTACATGTAGTGATGTAAAAGTAAATGATAAATTTCACTGGTCTGAACAAAAGATCAAAGAATCAATATTACAATACATTGTTATTTTAACAGACATAATTGATTTGGATGATTTTGAAAATATGACAGATTAGTTAATTGGAAAAAAACTATGGTCCATATTTGAGAACATTTAGTTTTGGAGCTTACTTTAGAAAACATAAGAATCCATTGAAGTTGGGGGGGACATATAAATTCAAATAAATAATAATAAACAATAATAGCTGTGCTTCTTGAACATGAATAGACAGAGCTATGGAAGAAACTAAGATAATGAGCTTATATAAAGTTAACATGGTATAAATGATGAATAAAATAAAATAAAATATTTATATGGCTATGAAGAAAAAATATTTAAAAAATTAATATTAAAAAAGCAGGCAATGTAACAGAGTCAGTGGTTGGAGAAATTCTTTTTTCATATCCTGCTAAGGGGGTTCAATGGAATTATTGCAAGAAAAGTGGATATTTTTACAAAATCTGTCATGCTAATTTTTCTAATAAGGAAATACATGAAGTCAACAAATGTGACTTTACTCTTATGGTAATGAAGATGTATATTTTGAAATCTCAAAATACTAAGTTAAATGGTAGATCAGAAGTTTCTACAGTATCTTACTATATACCAGCCAACCAGCAAGATCCAGCAAATTCTTTCTACTAATCACCCTTAATTAAATAAATTATTTTTAAACCAGTGATATAAACTACAGAATTCCTATGTACTAGAAGAAATGCATCTAGAATCAAAACATCTTACTGAATAATTTTAAGCAAGATTAATAGGAAAATAAAAATAATGGAAACATTTACAATATCCTAATAATGTATTGACAAGTCTGCATTTCAAAGATAAGAAATAGTTTTTGAAAGAGTGTATTGGAAGAGAACCTACTGAATTTGCAATAAGGAGAAAGTAAATCAAGACGC